TGAACATCCCATGGATAGCCAAAAGAACAAACATATATGTCTTGAAGAGGGTACAGCCAGAGTGCTCTTTGAAGGCAAAAATCATGAGACTTTGTCTTATATAGTTCAGGCATCTTGCTAGAAGGGACTATTTCTTGGAGAGAGACATGATGCTGGGAAGGGTGGAGGGTTGGCAAGGGAGAGGAAGACCCTCAACCAGGTGGACTGACACAGTGACTGCTGCAATGCGAGTCTAGTGTGCCAGGAAGTGTTAGAATGGCACAGGGTGGGACACTGTTCAGATCATTTGTTCATCGGGTCACTATGAGTCTTATTCAACTCGATGGCACCTAACAACAACAACAACTCCCCAGCCTATTCCCCTAATAAATCCCACAACTGTGAGTGAAGTCTGTGAATCAAGTTGCAAAGAATATTGGACCTACTGATTGGTAGAAATAGGTGCAAGAGTATGTGGGGTGCCATGTCTGACCATGTAGCTATTTATATGTTGCAATGGATATTATTCTGAATGACAATTACCTGGCAAACAGACTGGAAGAGATCCATATTTATTCCAATTTTTTTTAAATGAAAAAGGGGATCCAACAGACTGTAGTAATTATTGAACAGTACCACTAATATCACATGAAAGCAAAATCCTGCTGAAGATTATCCAAAAACGACTGGAACAGTGTATCAACAGAGAACTGCCAGACATGCAGGCTAGGTTTAGAAAAAGTTGTGACACTGGGGATATTGTAGCCAAATGGATTTTGGCTGAAAGCGAAGAGTAATATATATTTCACTGACTACACAAAGGCATGTGACTGTGGATCACAGCAAATTGTGGCTAACATTGAGAAAAATGAGAATCTCAAAACATCTGATTGTGCTCTTGTGAAACTTTTACTAACAAAGAATCCTCCTAACAAAGCAAGGAAACACTGTGAAATGTGGCATCAGGATTGGAATAAGACTCAACAACAACCTGTGTTACGTAGACGACACAACCTTGCTTGACAAAACTGAGGAGGACCTCAAGCGCTTGCTGCAGAAGGTCAAGGACTGCAGTCTTCAATATTTACTGAAACTCAACATCAAGAAAACAAAGATTCTCACCACTGGGCCAAATGGCAGCACCAGCACCATGACAGATAGAGAAGAGACTGAGATTGTTAACAATTTCTGCTTGCTTGGCTCCTCAATCAACACCCTTGGCACCAGCAGTCAGAAAATCAAAAGATGAATTGCATTAGGAAAATCTGCTGTCAGGGACCTATCCATAGTGTTAAAGAGCAATGATGTCAGTCTACTAAGGTTTGCCTGATCTAGGCCATGGTCTTCACAATTGTTTGCTAAGCATCAGAGAGCTGGAAATTGACTAGGGGTGACAGAAGAACTGATGCATTTGAGTTGTGGTGCTAGAAAAGAGCACTGAACATACCATGCACTGCCAAGAGAACAAAAAGGTCTGTCCTAGAGAGGGTGAAACCAAGTTTCTCCTTGGATGTAAGGATTATGAAGCTCTATCTCACATACTTTGGGCATGTTACCAGGAGGGACCAGTCCTTGGAGAACAACATCATATTCAGAAGGGTAGAGGGACAGCACAAGAAAGGGAGACCCCTGATGAGACTGAATAACACTGTAACTGGGGTAATGTGGGTAGGTGTGTTGGAGGCAGCGAGATCGGCTCAGGATAGAGCAGGGTAGGTCACTATGAGTTCAGGTCGACTCGATGGCACATAACAACAATGGATGTTATTCATAGGGACAGTTCCCATTAGGAAGTGGGTAGAAGTCAGATTCTGCCACCCCCATGATGTTATCTGCTCCTTTTAAGATTCATTTTCCAACTCTCAGAGCTATAGCAAGTGACTGAAAAAGACCATGGCCTGAAATTAAGTGCACCTTGGTCCTTAAACTAACATCATTGTTCCTCAATAATTTGGAGAGTTCCCTGAGTGCAGACTTTGCCAGTACAATATGTCTCTTGATCTACTGACTGCTGGTACCAAGTGGACTTATTGTGAATCCAGGTCAGATGAAGTCATCGATAGTTTGGTACTTCTCCATCTATTATGATGTTGCCTCTTGGTCCAGTGGCAAGAATATCTGTTTTCTAGATGTTGAGATGTAATCCATATTGAAAGCAGTGTTTGATCTTCTGCAGCAAGTGCTTCAAGTCCTCCGTCCTCCTCACTTTCATCAAGTAAGGTTGTGTCGTCTACATAACGCAGGTTGTTGATGAGTCTTTCTCCAATCCTAATGCCACATTCTTCAGAGTCAAGCTTCTCATATGATTTGCTAAGCATACAGACACAGAATACTTGTGGAGAGAGCATACAACTCTGATGCACACCTTTCTTAACTTTACACCACGTTAAGTTCTCTTGTTCTGTTCAAAGACCAGCCTGTTGGTCTAGGTATAAGTTTCACATAAGCACAATTAAGTGTTCCTTTTTTTTTTTTTGAGAAAAATGTGTATTTAGAATTTGCCAACTGGACACAGTTTGTTGTTATTGTTATGTGCCACTGAGTGTCTTGTGACTCATAGCAATGCTATGTACAGCAGCTCTGAAGCCTGCCCTATCCTGAGCCAGTCTCACTGACTCCAACATACCTATTCCCATTGGCCCAGTTACTATATAAATCTATCTCACCCAGTGTCTTCCTCTCCTGCACTGTCCATCCACCTTTCTGAGCATGATGTCCTTCCCCAAGGATTGGTCCCTCCTGGTCACATGCCACATCCAAAGCATCATAGTCAGGAGCAAGTTGAACACAGGCCTTCTTTTCTCCATAAACCCTGATCAAACTGTTGACCTTGACCCATCAATGTCACTGAGCTCCTTTTCTGCATGTTTGATTTGGTGCTTCTTGGCCTTGACATCCACAATGAACACAAGTGTGTTGTTATCTTCTATCTTCATGGCTTACTCAGTGGTCAGGGGATACCTGATGATGGCATAGTAGTCAAGCTTGTTTCTCCTGGAGGCGCTCTTCCAGGGGTACTTGGGCTGCCTTTGAAGTCTTGACATCTTGGACCCCCAGAAGGTGGATCTTCTTTTTTTTTCGTGGCTGTGGTTGCCCTTCAGGACAGTCTTCTTGGCTTTTAATACCTTTGCTTTGGCTTCACTTGTGGAGGAGGGGCACGGGCTTCCTTCTTTGCTTTTGGTGCCATTTTGGTAGAGAGGCTAATTATATGTTCTGATATTCCCATTCTCTTAGTGGAAGAGGAGATGAGTAGAAAATTAATTGATACACACTTAACATGCTGCCACAAATGATGGCTACAGGGGAAAAAAGTGTTTCTAAGCACGGTTGTCAATTTAAAAGTGTGCGGCAACGTGTTAATACATATCAGTGAAGAGAAAGACCACATAGAATGAGTGGACGATAAGTCACTCTGCTGTTGCTATGTGCCATCTGGTCGACTGTGACTCATACCGATGCTATGCACAATAGCTCTGAACCTTTCCCTCTCCTGGCCAGTTTCAGTCTCCAATATATCTACCCCTGTCACCCCAGTTACAGTGTCAATCCATGTCATCTGAGGTCTTCCTCTCCTGTGCTGTCCCTCCACACTTTCAAGCATGATGTCCTTCTCCATGGACTGGTCCCTGTAAGTACTATAAATAATGTAACAGGATAAAATGTGCAGGAATGACTAATTGGTAAAGCCAAGATTCTTTGTAAGCTTTCACTCAAATCACATAAAAAATAGGAAAGAAAACAGTGCTATGGGTCTACCTCAACCTGTCTGTTTTCTGACAGTAATGGAATACTTTTAGGGTTTCCAGCCTACTACAGCCAGCCCACTGCTCCCCATAGGGGTGACCGGCACAAGGCTGGCATTTAGTGGCAATAGCCCAGCCTCACTATCTCCCTGTGAGCCAAACCCTAAACTAAAAGACGTTGTGAGGACACTTCAGGCCCTGTCGCCACGAGACCCTCCGTCTTACGCGTGTACTCTCAGGGCTAGGCTTTTCCACATGGAGAGGATGTGGGCAGCAGAGGGACATCCTACAACACCTGTCCTTGGGACCTGAGTGCTTGAGTTCCCACTTGATGCCTCAGGGAGGGGCAAGTTGTTTTTAAAGAACAAACAACAGCCATAGGTGCTGGTCAAAATGCAACCTGCTGGCAATTTCTTCCTCTCAACAATGGTGACAGCACTCAGCTCCCACATACAAATGGCCAGATGTGCTGGCTGATACCGATATGCACTGCCTCCACTGGCTGTCTCAGCATGTCACTGAAGGCCTCCCCACCAGCCCTTGGTACCTTTGCTGCCTCCTTCTGCACAAGGTCCCGCATCTCCTCTGTCCAGCCCAGCAGCTTTACCAGTTCTTCTATACTGTGCACCATGTCCCCCAGTTGCACCACATCCCTGTCCCGTGGTCTCCATGCAAAGGTGCCCACCACATCCTGGTTGATAAGCACTCGGGGCACTGAGCTGCAGACGCTCTCGGACAAGCTGGCAAAAGGCTCCACCTGGAAGACACCAGACAAGAGCCTGACACCCTGAGGAGGACAGGGCTCACCTGAAAGGCCGTAACACCTCATGCTCACCTGGGAGGCCTCAGTGGTCAGCGTAAGTTGACCTCACATTTCAATATGCTGAAAAAACCCACTGACATCCCTGCTGACCATATAGCCCAAGGTTCCCCCAGCCCCCTGCCTGGCAGGTCCTCTGCTGTGTCTTGTAAACCAGCCCATCTGCCTCCTGTGAGGCTCATCTGGGCTTGATACCTTTTCCTGTTCTTCACCAGGTAAACCTTCACTCCTCAAGAGGGGGCTCCCACTGCCCTCAGGGCACCCAGAACCACACACACAATAGCCTGGTAAAAAGCTGACAGAATCCACTCTGCCTCCTCACTCCACCTCTGTACCCCACAATTGACGAGGCAGACCTCAAACAAACCTCAAGCGACGTCCCAAGAATGATCAGCAGGTCAGCCCTGCGGAAGTCGATGAGGTGCAACAGGAATCTCTCTGGCAGCGGCTCCCCAAAGAACACAATGTCAGGCTTCACGACACCAGCACAGGCCATGCAGCAGGGCACCCTATCCGCCAGCACGCTGGCCTGGGTAGGGAAAGGCAACAGCAGCCATTCAGGTCAAGGTTTCCGACCTCACAGCAGTCCAGGGGATAAATAAAGACATCCTCCTTCCTTCCCCCAGTGTCATCAGTTACCTATCCCACTCCACCTCCTGGGCATGTCATCGTACACACAAACACCTGAGGAGATAGCTATGGTACACTGATAGTCACATGCCATGACCACCTCGCCCAGGCACATCCCTCTGTCCCACAGGTCACTCTCGGCTCCACTGGTGAAAGATGGGTAGAAGCCTCTTAAGATTTACAGTCTGAAAGAAACCCAGTGGAGAGCCCCTATGAGACAGAATTGGATCCATGGTAGAGTCTGATTTAAGAAATTGTTCTTTTCTTTCTACACTGTGAGCTCTGGTGGTCTAGTGGGTAGAGAGTGTGTGGCTAACCTAAAGGCGGTGCCTCTCTGATGCTCTGAATCTACCAGCTGCTCCACAGGAGAAGGATGGGTAATCTCTTCCCACGTGATTGATTTACAGCTATCACAATGTGGGAACTGTAATCAATGTCACAGACACAGCATGTATAAACTGTTGAATGTTATCAACATCTTAAAACATAATGTGGATTAAACTGTTGAATGTAATCAATGTGAAAAAACAATGTGGATAAACTGTTGAATGGAAAGCTAATATGCTGTTTATACTACATCTCAAATCAAAATAAGCACTTTTTAAAAAGAAACTTCTTGCTGTCATGTGCCATCATTGTGACTCATAGTGACCCTAGGTACAAAAAGACCTGTACCCTGCCCTATCCTGTGTGAATCTTATTGTCTCTGACACACCTACCCCAATTACTAAAGTCACTGAGTCAACCCATCTTATCAAAGGTCTTCCTCTTTTGTGTTGTCCTTCCACCCTCCCAAGCATGAAATCCCTCTCCAAGGACTAGTCCCTCCTTGCAACATATCCAAAGTATGTCAGAAGAAGCTTCAGAACCCTTGCCTCCAAGGAGCAACCTGGTCTCACTCTCTCTAGGATGAACTTGTTTGTTCTCCCAGCAGTCCATGGTATATTCAATACTCTTCTTCATCATCATAGCTCAAAGGCATCAATTCTCCTATCATCCCTAGTCACTGTCCAGCTTTCTGACACATAACAAGTAACTGCAAAGAACATGGCCTGAATCAGGCACACCTTAGTCTCCGGACTGAGATCATTGCTCTTCAGTACTTTGGAAAGGTCTCTGACAGCAGTCTTTCCCAATGCAATTTGTCTTTTTTTTTTTTAGCTCAAATATTTATAGACAACTCAGTTGGAAAATAGCAGAGGATACTGGTCCAACAGCCAACAAACACACAAATAAGTACTCAAAATCATTAGCAATTGTTAGGTGCCAGTAGTTTGTCTTTTAATTTCCTGGCTGCTGGTACCAAGAGTGTTGATTGTGGAGTCAAGCAAATTGAAGCTGTTAAAAGTCTCAATCTCTTCATTGCCTATCATGAGGCTGCCAACCAGCCCAGTGGTGAGAATCTTTGTTTTCTCGGTGGTGGGCTTCAATCCATATTCAAAGCTGCAGTACTTGACCTGCAGAAAGTGCTTCAGGTCCTCCTCAGTTTCAGCAAGCAGGGTTGTGTCATCTGTGTAATGCAGATCGTCGATGAGTCTTCCTCCAATCCTAATGCCACATTTCTCCTCATAGAGCCCAGCCTCCCAGATAATCTGTTCTACATATAGATTGAAAAAGCAACTTAGCAGAAGTAATTTAAGAACAAAGTAGAAATCCTATTTCAGGATGACTAAAATTAAAATTCAATGGAGAGAAAAGTAAAAAATGGACACATGAAAAGATGCCCCTCACATTAGTCACTGGAGAACTGAGCTTAGAATCATGGGAGGTATCATTGAACTTTTACTAAGATGGCTGTTGTTGGTGGTGAAGTAAGACTCATAGCGACCCTATGAACAACAGATCTGAACCCCATCTTTTCCTGTGCCATCCTCACACTTCCTGGCACACTAGACCCCTCTGCGGCAGTCACTGTCAATCCACCTGGTTGTGGGTGCTTCTATCTTGCGCTGACTCTCTACCTTTCCAAGCATCATGTCCTTCTCCAAAGAAAAGCCCCTCCTAACAATATGCTCTAAGTATGTGAGGCAAACTCTCATCATCTTTGCCTCCAAAGAGCACTCTGGGTGTATTCTCTCCAAGACATATTTGTTTGTTCTTTTGGCCGTCCATGGGATACTCAGTGCTCTTCTCCAGAAGCACAGCTCAAAGACATCAATTCTTCTTCTGTCATCCCTATTCACTGTCCAGCTCTCAGATAAATAGTAAGTGATCAGAAATACCATGGCCTACATCAGACACACTTCAGTCCTCAAACCAACATCATTACTCCCAATAATTTGGAGAAGTCCCTAACTGCAGATTTTCCCAGTGCAATATGTTTCCTTATTTCCTGACTGCTGGCATCAAGGGTGTTAACAGTGGATCCAAGTAAGATGAAGTTGTTGACAGTTTCAATCTCTTCTCCATCCATCATGATGTTGCCTACCTGTCCAGTGGCAAGAATCTTTGCTTTCTTGACATTGAGATGCAATCCATACTGAAGACTGCATTCCTTGTTCTTCCACAAGTGCTTCATGTTCTCCTCACTTTCAGCAAGCAAGGTTGTGTCATATTCATAACACAAGTTATTGATGAGTATCCTTTCAATCTTGTGGTCACTATTCCTCTTCAAAGAGTCCAGCTTCTCAAATACTTTGCTCAGCATACAGACTGAATAGGTATGGAGAAAGAATACAACCCTGACACACTCTCTTCTTAATTTTAAACCATGCCGTGCTCCCCTGCTGTTTGCACAACAGCCTCCTGGTCCAGATACAGGTTTTGCAAGAGCACAGTTAAATGCTCTAGGACTCCCATTCCTCTCAATGTCAGCTACAAGTTATGATCCATATAGTCAAACACCTTTGCATAGTCAATAAAGCACAAATAGACATTCTTCTAGTATTCTCTACTTTCAACCAGGATCTGACATTAGCAATGATATCCCTAGTGCCAGCCTCTTTTAAATCCTGCTCTTCTTCTGGCAGTTCCCTATCTATACACTGTCCTAACCATTTTTAAAGGATCTTCAGCAGTATTTTGCTTACCTTGGGAAACTAATGATATTGTTCTATAGTTTCCATGAGGAATTTAGGTTTGGAAAAATAACAATAAAACCAGAAACAATATATGTTGGTGAAGAGAAATTGGAACCCCTGTGCATTACCGACGACGGTATAAAATGGTATATCCAAGGTGGGGAATAGGTAGTTCTTTAAAAACGTAAACACAGAACTATGTACCGTATCACATAAGTACATCTCTTGTTGCTGTGGGCCATCCACTCAGAACCAACTCATAGCTGATGCCTCAGAGGGTTTTTAGAGGCAGTAAACTGCATTGGAGGAGAGTGCCCATTTTTTTCTCATGGAACCACTGATGGATTCTAATAATATGCCTTCGGTACTGACAACACAGCTTGAAAGCAGTTAAGCAAACAGACACACATACACCATTGTTCACTGCAGTACCAAACACAGAAGCCAAAAAGCAAATATGACCACCAACAAATAAATGGATTTAAAACATGTAAAATATACAAACAATGGAATATTACTCAGCCATTAAGGGGGGGAAGTGCTGCCAATTGGACCAGTGGTAAGAATCTTTGTCTTCCTGATGTTGAGTTTCAATCCATACTGAAGACTGAAGTCCTTGACCTTTGCAGCAAATAATTTGGGTACTCCAGTTTCAGTAAGCAAGGTTATATCATCCACACAACGCAGGCTGTTGATGAATCTCCCCTCCAATCCTGATGCTACATTCCTTCTCATAAACTCCAGCCTCCTGGATGATCTCTTCTGCATATAGATTTAAAAGTATGTAGACAGATGCATCCCTGACGCACTCATTTCCTGATTTTAAACAGGCAGTGTTTCCTTGTTCTGTTCTGATGACAGCTTCCTGTTCCAAGTACGGGTTTCACATGAGCACAATCAAGTGTTTTGGGATTCCCATTCTTCTCATGGTTAGCCACAATTTGTTGTGATCCACACTTTGCATAGTGAATGAAACACACATAGATATTCCTCTTGAACTCTCTCCTTTCAAGCCAAAATCCATCTGACATTGGCTATGATGTCCTTAGTGCCATGCCTCTTCTAAAACCAGTGTGTATTTCTGTGAGTTCTCTGTCGATGTACTGTTCCAGTCATTTTTTGGATAATCTTCAGAAGGATTTTGCTTCCATGTGATATTAGTGATATTATTTGATAATTTCTGCCCTGTCAGATCCTCTTTTTTTTTTTTTAAATTGGAATAAATACAATCTCTTCCAGTCAGCTGGCCAGGTAGTTGTCCTCCAGATTTTTTTGCACAACCTGGTGAGCATATCCAGGGCAGCGTCTGTTCTGTTTGCTGAAATATGTCAACTGGTATGCCATCAATTCGTAGGGCCTTACATTTTTTCCCAATTCCTTCAGAGTAGATTGAACTTCCTCCTTCATCATCATTGCCTCTAGATCACATATTGTTTCATGAAATTCTTCTCTGTCAGCCAATTCTTTTTGGTAGTGACTCTGTATTCCTCCATCTTCTTTTGATGCTTCCTGGACCATTCAATGTTTTGCCCAAGGCATCCATAAGTACTGCAACTTGACGCTTGAATTTATTCTTCAGTTCCTTCAGCTTAAGAAACACTGAGCGAGTTTGTCCCTTTTGATTTTCTGACTCCAGCTCTTTGCACATTTTCTTATAATACTGAAATATGTAGCAAGTGATTAAAAAGACCATGGCCTGAAATAGGAGCTCCTAAATCTTCAAACTGACATCAATGTTCTCCAGTATTTTGGAGAGGTCACTGGCAGAGGATTTGCCAAGGGACTGACACAGTAACTGGGGCTATGGAGAATGGTGTGTTGGAGACAGTGAGATTGGCTCTGGATAGGTCAGGGTTCAGAGCTACTGTACAAAGGGTCACTATGAGTTGCAAGTGACTCAACAGTACATAACAACAACATCAGAAATGATGAGGATGGCACAGGATAGGCCAGGGTTCAGATCTGTTGTTCACAGGCTTGCTGTGACTTGTACACAAGTTGACCACACCTAACAACAATTATACTTCTGATTTTGAAATGCATTATATTTCTAATCTGAAGACAGATATTTTCCCATCCTCAAGAAGGGCCATTTCAATGGTCCTTTGCTGCAGAGGGGCAGACTCCGGGCACACTCACCCAGAAGTCCTCGCCAGGGCAGGGCTGTAGACAGACAGTGCAGGTGGCAGATGCAAAGGTGCCATGTGCTTCAACCAGCTTGGAGGCAGGGATGCCAGAAGCTGCAATTCAAACCTCAGGTGAGCAATACTGACACCAGAGAAGCCCCAGCCCACAGAGCCCACCGGGCTGACATTTCGGTGACATCACCATAGACACTAGGGGGCAGGAGAGACACCTAGGACAGCAAAATAGTCAGAACGGCAGACACTGGTTTAAATAAAAGTATATCCAACATCTAGGAATGCATTTTCTAGTCTATACAGAGATGATATAAATTAACAGACTTTAAAAAAAATCTGCCTATTGAAAAAAGAGACAAAATGTAGCTAGTTAAAGATATTAACACTGTTACCACAGTAACCCTGTCTGCTTCTGAGAGGCTCTATGATTCTGAGTCCAGGCTTCCACATCCATAGACTGCTTGATGGACCCTAGCTGAGAGCTACACCCACTTTGGACAAAGTCTGCACTTGGAGTTCATGTTTCTGACCCTTTCTGGGAATAAGCCTCTCCTGGGTTCCAGGTGTCACTGACTGAACTGTATCACCATGATTTTCAGTGGTTTGGATGTAATGATCCAAATGTGGCAATGTGACAGTGAGGTGATGATTCTCAAGGATTGGGTAAGGGCTATGGGTGGGACATGGCCCTTTAGTCCCACTGCCACCTGTTTCCCTTGTGTGTGATCTGCAATACCTTTTTATCTTATAAGAGATGCAAAGGGGTAAGGGACACTCACAAGAAAGGGAGCCAGGAATGGAGCATGTCCTTTGGCCCTAAGTCACTGTGATGGAAATCTCGTCAGCACTGGGAAAGACTAATGCCAAGACCCAAGGTCTTCCCAAAACGCTGGCCTATAGATGCTAAAAAGCACTAAGGGACAATCTCCTAACCCTGAGCCAGCAGCGAGTCTTCCTACACTGGCACCTTGAAATCAAACGTCCAGTCTCCTAAACCTCTGAGAGGAGACAAGTGCTGTTAAAGCTGGTGTGCGACATTTCTCACCGCAGTCCCAGGTCATCGTCACCAAAGACACCAGGCAACAGCACTTTAACCCACATGAACTGCGCCCAGGCAGCAGCTGCTGGTACACTGGCCGCACACAGGAAGCCACCTCAGGGCTGCTGGCCACCAGACAGCTCACGGCATGACAGCTGGATGCTGGACGCCTGCACTGACGCTACTCGAGTGTTTGCTGTGCAAACAAAATTGTGGCAACATCTTAGAAGGTTTCACCCTTCAGAGATGCCAGCTAAGTGTATGTGGACAACATTTACGTGTGCAGGGCTTTCTAGAAATAACTTGGATGGTGGGGAAGGTGTGACAACCCCACAAGAAGGAAGACAGGAAAGACAAACCATCCAACAGCAGCACTTGCCCACCTCGCTCGAGCCCATCGATATTCTGCGTGTAAAGTCGAAGCAGCAGCCCCTTGTCATGCAGAAGTCTGAGGAAATAGTGAGTCACATTCGGCCTGAAGTTCCCAGGGTACAGCTCCTTGGCCAAAGTGAAAAAGGGCTTGGGGTTCCGAAAGAAGAATGCCAGTTCAAAGATGGCTTCAGGGTACGGGATATCATACTGCTGAAGGTTGCTGTAAAGGCCACTCCCTGGAGACCTGCAAAAAGAGGGACCCCAGAAGAAGAGCGGGAACTGGGGGCTGTGAGTGGGCTGGGGATAGTTGGAGTAAGGGTGGTGGGGTTGAGGATGATGGGGATGAGGGTAGTGGGTATGAGGGTGGTGGGGATGAGGTTGGTGGAGGTGAGGGTGGTGGTATACTAGGGATGATGGTAAATGATAAAGCTAATGGGAGTAAGGGTGGTGGGGATGAGGAGGTGGGAGTGAGGAGGGAGGTAGCATGGGGTGAGGGTCAGTTGGGGGTGAGAGTGGTGGGGGGATGGGGTGGTGGTGAGGGTGGTGGGGAGAGGGGGCAAGGGTGGGTGAGAGTAGTGGGGTGAGGTTAGTGGGTGAGGTTGGGGGAGGTGAGGGTGATGGTGACTGAGGGTAGTGGTGCATTAGGGATGATGGGAGATGATAAAGCTGATGGGATTGACGGTGCTGGGGTGAGCATGGGAGGGTCTAAAGATTTTGGGAGTGAGGATGGTGGAAGATGAGGATGAAGATGGAGGCAGATGGTAAGGCTGAGGATGGTGCAATGCAGCAGATGGGAGGTGGAGGTGTGATGAGTGAGGAGGGGAAATGCTGGGTGAAGACAGTGAGGGGGGAGTGAGCAGAGGGGGAAGTCAGGGTACCTGAAGTCAGGGATGCCACTAGGTGTACTGATGCCGGCTCCCACCATGACCACCACCCTTTGACAGGTTCTGGTCCGGATCAGCTCAGCTACATCCTTAAGGGACAACTGCTTCTTGGCACTGCCACCTCCCCCTCCAAAGCCCCCTGAGGTACAAGTGGACCGGAACATAGGCCTTCTCACACCTGCAATGCCAACAGGAAAAGAACAAAGTGGAAAAACTGGACACATGGACTCTATCTCCAACTGAGGACAGGGCCAGCCCTTAATCCCTTCTAGTCCCAAAGGACCACCTTTCCAGGGTGATACTGGACTGGAATGGAGTACATCCCAAAGCAGGGAGTGTTAGGAGTGGAAGGAAATGTGTTAACAAGGAAACCACACAGCTGGACCCAGGCAGTTTCCCCAGGGTCCTACATGCAAAGGGTACAGAGAAGAGGCAGAGGGCTCACAAGTGACTGCAGGGCAGGCCAGCTGCAGCTTCAAGGCCTTTGAAACTTAAATGCTAAAAGTCAGCCACTGGCTCAGAGGGCATGAGGTACCGGCTGGTGAATGGCATCTTATGAGTACAACCAGGAACTTACTTCCTTACTCTGGCAATCTTGACACACTCTTCCAATATGGTTTACATTCTGATATTTTGCTTCCTGGGGATATATTTGAATGTTGCCACGTGTCTCCAACTTGACATTTTTCTATTTGTATCATAACAGCCTTCTCAGAGCAGTAATGGTACAATCAGTCCAGAGAGACTCAGACCACCCATCTCTGATGCCAAGCTTGATGGCAGATAACTTGCTATCTCACACGTTTGATTTTTCAACTGCTGCTTCTATAGATGTTGACTGTAGATCAAAAATGAAATCTTTGGAAATTTCAAACTTTTCTGATTAACAAGATGTTTATTGGTTCTGTTGTGAGAACAGTCTTTAAGCTACATGAGTAATTCAAGTCTTCTTCCATTTCACCAGACAAGCTATTAATGTGTCTTCCTCCAGGCCTGATGTCTTTGTTCTTCACATAGGCCCTTACAACTTCTTGGGTTATTTGCTCAGCATACGGACACACACCTTTCCTGATTGTAAATCACAGAGTATCACTTTGTTTTTTGTTCAAACAACTGCTTCTTGGTCTTTCAGGTTCTGCATGATCACAATGAAATATTCTGAAATTCTTATTATTTATCTATAATCAGTTATAATACACACAGCCAAATGTCTTTGCATATTCATTCAAACATGGGTAAATATCAACTATTCTATGCTTTCAGCCAAGATCCATCTGACATCAGCAATGATATCCCTCGTTCCACATCCTCTTCTAAACCCAGCCATCTATCTTCTAGTTGTCACACTGTAGTGGTTTTCATGTTGCTGTTTTGCTGGCTCTATCACCAGTATTTCAGATAGCTGCAGTCTCCCACAGAGGGAGGGTTTCAGTGGAGCTTGTAGACTAAGGGAACAGGAAGCAGGGTTGGCCATCCACTTCTGAAGTAATAGGCCCTTGAAAACCCTGTGAATACCAGTGAGACATTATCTGCTATTATGTTAGCCCTCCCTCAGGCTGGCATTCACTCAAAATAAGACTAAAGCTGCCTCCTCGAAGAGGACTTTACATTAATGATGTGGATGGAGAAAAGCTGTCAACCAACTAAGGACTTCAATTTGATGATGTGGCACAATTCAAATGGGGAGAAACAGCTGCAAAGAAAGATCCACTAATAATGTACAAAGTTTGAATCTAAAAAAATTGGAAAAGTGTAAAAAATGAAACCTAGCACATAAAGATTACTATCCTAGGTGTTGTTGCTATTACTATGTGCCATCATTTACTATGACTCATAACGAGCCTATGAATACTGACTCTGACTCTGGACCCTGTTTTAGCCTGTGCTAGTCTCACCAACTTACTGACCTTCTACTTTTCCAGTTATGATTTTCTTTTCCAAAGACTGACTCCTCCTAACGACATGCCCAAATTATGTGAGATGAAGCTTCACAATCCTCGCTTCCAAGGATCACTCTGGTTGCACTTTCTCCAAGACAGATTTGTTTTTTCTCTTGGCAGTCTGTGGGATAATCAGTACTCTTCTCCAACACATCTAAAGGGCACTAACTTTTCTTCTGTCATCCTTAGTCATTGTCTAACTTTCAGATGCATAAAAAGTAACTGAAAAGACCATGGCTTGACTCAAGTGCACCTAAGTCTTTAAAGTGACATTATTGCTCCTTTGCACTTTGGAGAGGCCCTTCATAGTTGTTGTTATGTGCCGTCAAGTCGCTTGTGACTCATAGAGACCCTATGTACAACAGCTCTAAACTCTGCTCTGTCCTGGGCCAATCGCACCGTCTCCAATATACCCATCCCCAATACCCCAGTCACTGCATCAATCCACCTCACAGGGGGCCTTCCCCTTCTGCACTGTCCCTCCACCCTAACAAGCATGATGTCCCTCTCCAAGGACCTGTCCCTCCTTGCAATATGTCCAAAGTATGTTAGACGGAGCCTTAGAATCTTAGCCTCCAAGGAGCAGCCCAGTTTGACCCTTTCCAGGATGAATCTGCTTGTTTTCCTAGCAATCCATGGTACCCTCAATACTCTTCTCCAGCACCACAACTCAAAGGCGTCAATTCTCCTCCTATCCTCCTTAGTCATTGTCCAACTCTCTGATGCATAACAAGTGATAGCAAAGACCATGGCCTGTATCAGATGCACCTTAGTACCCAAAGAGACACCATTGCTCTTCAGTACTTTGGAGAGGTCCCTAACAGCAGACTTTCCCATGGCAATACATCTTCTAATTTCCTGGCTACTGGTGCCAAGAGTGTTGACTGTGGAGCCAAGCAAACTGAAGCTGTGAACAATCTCAATCTCTTCACCATCCATCCTGATGCTGCCAATTGGTCCAGTGGTGACAATCTTCATCTTCTTGACAATGAGCCTCAATCCATATTGGAGGCTGCAGTCCTTGACCTTCTGCAGCAAGTGCTTCAGGTCCTCCTCAGTTTCAGCAAGCAGGGTTGTATCATCCATCGGCATATCGCAGATTGTTGATAGATCTTCCACCAATCTTGACTCCACATTTCCCTTCATAGTAGATTTGCTCAATTCAATGTATCTTTTCATATCTGGCTACTGATATCAAGGGTGTCAATTGTGGATCCAAGAAAGAGAGAACCTCAATATTTACTCTATTGCGATGTTGCCTTTTGGCACAGTAGTGAAGATTTTTGTTTTCTTATGTTATTAACCCATATCGAAGGCTGTAGTCTTTGATCTTCTGCATAAACAACTTCAAGTTCTTCTCATTTTCTATAAGCAAGGTGTCACCCGCATGCCAGATGTTGATAAGTCTCTTATCCTGATACCACATTCTTCATCATAAAGCCCAGCTTCTAAAATGATTTGCTCAATATACAAACTGAATAGGTACAGAGAAAAGATACAGACCTAACGTACATATTTTTTTATTTTAAAACAAGCAGTGTTCCCTTGCTCTATTCGGACAAAAGCCTCTTGCTCTAGGTATAGGCTCTGAATGAGCACAATTAAGTATCCTGGATTTTCCATTCTTAATGTTAGCCATATTTGTTATGATACATATAGTCAAACATCTTTGTACAGTCAATAAAACAGACATCCTTCTGGTATGTTCTGCTTTCTGTCATATAATAGCAAAGATATCCCTGGTGCCACGGCCTCTTCTAAATTCAGGTTGAATTTCTGGCAATTCTGTGAATGTACTGATCCTAAGCATTAGTGAGCCAAAATGAACTCTTACTGCCCATTTTAAAAAAGTCAATCACATGGTCTACAAAGCTGGGAATAACAAATTCAAGTGGAATGGTGTTGCATCATCATCAAAAAGAACATTTCATTATCTATCCTGAAGTATAATACTGTCAGTGATAGGATAATATACACATGCATACAAGCAAGAACTATTTCTAGGACTTTTATTAAAATTTACATACTTAGCATTAGAAGTCAGAAATCAAAAGATTAATTGCATTAGGAAAGTCTGCTGTCAGGAACCCCTCTAGAGTACTGAAGAGCAACAATGTCAGTCTGGAGATTAAGGTGTGCCTGATCCAGGCCATAGTCTTTGCAATTACTTGCTATGGGTCTGAGAGCTGGACAATGACTAAGGATGACAGAAGAAGAATTAATGCCTTTCAGTTATGGTGCTGGTGATGAGTGTTGAACATGCCATCGACTGCGAGGAGAACAAGCAAATCAGTCTTGGAGAGAGTGAAACCAAGCTGCTCATTGGAGGCAAGGATTTTTAAGCTCTGTCTCACATACTTTGGGCATACGGCCAGGAGGGACCAGTCCTTGGAGAAGAGCATCATACTTGGAAGGGTGGTGGGAAAGTTCAGGAGAAGACCTAGATTGACTCAGTGACTGGAGTAGTGGGATTGGGTCTGTCATTGGCTTAGGATAGGGCAGGCTTCAGAGCTGTGTACTTAGGGTTACTATGAGGTGCAGCACATAACTCGACAGCACATAACAACAAACAACAATGAAGAAATTGAGGATTTTTACCATTAACTTCTATAGTGTGTACTTGATTGAACAGGTAATTAGGATGTATTAATACTAATTAGTGATTGCAATGTTAAAATTGAGGTTCTCTGGTGCCTTACTGGTAAGCAGCTGTGCTGCAATCCCAAAGACAAGTGGTTCAAATCCACCAGCTGATCCACTGGAGATGGATGGGCAACCTCCTCCCAGGTAATTAACTGCCAGAGGTCCAGCTATAGTTACCTTGACAGTACACAACAACAATGCAAAAACTGGAAAGAAAGAACGAAATCTCCCAGGTGTAGCAGGTCCTCATAAGGGTAATGGCCAAATCAGAGAGGGGATCCTGGTCTTCAGAATATGCTTTTCCTCTTGGCTCTTGCAAATCTGGAGACCCCACCTGAGATGTTGGTTGATAAAGAGTTTGTAACAAGCCAATCCTCAAATCCTGTATCAGTGACTAGGTGGGGTTCCCCAGACAAACAGGCAAAAGTAAAACCCTTCAGGGATGTCAACAACCCAGGATATCCCTTACAGTCTATTTCCAGAAACCAAAGCCATGCACAGAGTCCTGCACCTCAGGCTGATTTGGCTTGAAAGAATAGAGCAGAGGCAATGCCACACCTTGCAAAATGCAGCCTCTCCATATTCAGTCATCTTGGGGCTACTGCAACCATCATAAAGGAACAGCCTGGAAGTGCTCATCTGATGTGCTCCATGGAGCTCGAGAACCTGTGCTGAGATCATTCTGGAGGCTGCTACTATAGCAAGGTGACTGAGGTAACTCTAGAGAGCTCAGCTTCTAGCACAGGGGTCCTGCCACCATAGTCCCCTGGGATCTACAAGGGGCTTCCCACATTGAGCTGTACCGTGCCCATATCACAGCCTGGGTAGTGGCTCAAGGTCAGCACCACCACAGCCCATTGTGCAGCTCTTCTGCACACAGGTGGGGGGATTGCCAGGAGCTGAGTTTCTCACCCAAAGGCAGGGCCAATGAGACCGAGGTTGTGCACCTCAAAATAAGTTTCTATACTTGGTTTCCCCAGCTGGAAGCAAGCATGTTGTTTGCTGTCATATTGCTGGGGCCCCAAGAAACACTCAGGACCAGAAATGAAGCCTGAAGAGGTTACAGGTCCAGATAACCCATCCTCCCCAACCACCTTATTCTACTGGGCCCACCATCAAGTCATTTGATGAAGAAAGTCGTTCCCTATCACTCTCCTCCCAGTGTGGCTGGCAGTACTGGGACACAGGTCCTACAGAAAGAAGTTTCTGGGGATCTACAAGCAGCCAAGTGGTGGGAGCCTTGTAAGAAGTGAGAAGGGGGCTGGGATGAGAGGTGGAGGGGGCAGTGATAAAAAATGGGGAGGTGTGATAAAGGAGTTGTGATGAGAACTGAGGGAGCCCTATGATGAGAAGAGGCATAGTGATAATTTGGGCCATGATGAAATATGAGGCTCCTGTAGTAACAAATAGGGGGTCCAGTGAAGAGTAGTAGTGATCCTGTGATAAGCAGTTGGGGGCTGAGGTAAGAAGTGGAAGGTGAGCTGGTGGGGCATATCAGCTGGGCAAAGCTGAATGCCCTCTCACCTCTGTCCACTCATTTAGAACCAAGGCTGAGTGTGAAGGAGCTGCAAAGGGTTCCTTCTGGAAGTACCTGGAGCTATAATCCTCTGGGCAGAGCACCTCATCCATGCTCGTGGGGAGACAGCCAAACCCCGAGGAGGGTCACCACAGAAGAAAAGCAGAGTGCGAACTCCACTCTCTGCTTTACACACCACCAAGGAGAGCTAGCAACATTTAGTCACCTCCCAAGGATGAAAGCAGAGCAGGCATCACTTAAGGCACCTCACACGTACTCCTCACCTATAAGCCACATGTGCTGAGAACTTGGGGTGTGGGTCTTAAATTAGAAACTATTATTTGGAGGCACTGGGAGACACTGCAAACAAGGGGAGTTTCTACCTGAGCCCAAAATTCAAATCACGAAGCAGTTGAAATGGCTAAAGCATATGTACCGGGCAGCCTGTGATAGAGGCCCTGTGTCCTGGCTTTGGCAAGCCCAGCAGACAGCACTGCTGCCAGAGGAAGAGTTCAGGAAAGAGCATCAATTTAAAATGTCACAACCTATTATAATAACTATGGAATTAACCAAGGGACTTGTTACTGTTCTTAGACCCCATCGAGTGACCCTGTGAACAACAGAACCTCACTTCACCCTACCCTGCACCATCCTCACCAGGTCCCTCAAGTCCACTGGTTCCAGTCATTCATTCTATCAACCCTTCCCGTTAAGGACCTGCCTCTCTTTTGTAGACCTCTCCACCTTTCCCAGGGCGTTTTCCAGGACTGGCACCTCCAGACAACATACCCAAGGTATGTGGAAGGAAATATTACCATTCTTGCATCTAAGGAGCACTTTGGTTGCATCTCCTCCAAGACACGTTTGATCTTTTGGTAGTCCACAGGATATTATATTCTTCACCAACACAATTCAAAGGCATCTATTCTTATCTTTCTTTGGGTAAAGCTTCCACCAAGAAAGGGACTTGTTGTTGCTATTAAGTGCTGTCGAGTCATAGGTGACTCATAGCGACCCTATGAAGGAGAGTCCTCGAGGACGCTTGGGTGCCTTTCACCCTCTCTCCAGGTTCATAGAGTTTCCAGAGGCAAGCTGTTAACGGAAGTGGATGCCACTCCTCCTTCCAAGAGAAAGGGACTTACTTACCTAAATACTAGTCCGTTGCTAACCAGTTAGGGTGGCTTCCAAGTTCTCTATAAACAACTATGATTAACAGTTTTAAGGCTAACAGTTTTCCCACAAGCTGGCTCAGTTAGAAGGGAAGCTGAGGTCTGAAAGTTTGGACAGTATGCTCACGGAGTAACAGTACGATCTTCAGGGCGGATCATTAAAATGTTTACAGCTTTACACCTAGCAGTCCACTGCTAGGGCTTCACCCAAAAAGGGAGCAAGGGAGAGCAAGGGACAAGGTCCCCACAGCATGATTTGTAACAACGAAAGAATAAACGTGATCCCAACAGAGAAATTATTACATAACGGAACCCAAGTCACAGAACCACAGCCCAGCATAAACTGCGAGGGAAGGGCGAAGCGATGAAATGCAGGGAACTCGAGTCGCTGCACGGACGCCACTGGAAAGCGTCGCTGACAAGGCGGCACTCCGTGCGCCCGAGCTCTGGAGGGAAGCCACTAGTGGAGGTCGCCCCGTGAGACAAAGCACACGTGCAGCTCCCGGCCCTGACCTTGGACGCCCTCCACGTCCCGCAGCAGCCCTGGGGCACTCGAATTCCTTTATCTGAAAAGACCACCCAGCCCCGGCGGCGCAAGACGAGATGAGGGCAGCGGCCACAGGCCCGCTCACCTCCCGCGCCCCAGAGCTCGCAGGCGGGGAGAAGTCCATTCCTTAGGACGGTAACGGAACGACGAACTAACAGCGGCATCTTTCCTCGACCGCGGCGTTCTCGCGTCACACGCCCCGCCCCTTCCCGTCCGCTCTCGCCCCGCCCCTTCCCGTCCGCTCTCGCCCCGCCCCTTCCCGTCCGCTCTCGCCCCGCCCCTTCCCGTCCGCTCTCGCCCCGCCCCTTCCCGTCCGCTCTCGCCCCGCCCCTTCCCGTCCGCTCTCGCCCCGCCCCTTCCCGTCCGCTCTCGCCCCGCCCCTTCCCGTCCGCTCTCGCCCCGCCCCTTCCCGTCCGCTCTCGCCCCGCCCCTTCCCGTCCGCTCTCGCCCCGCCCCTTCCCGTCCGCTCTCGCCCCGCCCCTTCCCGTCCGCTCTCGCCCCGCCCCTTCCCGTCCGCTCTCGCCCCGCCCCTTCCCGTCCGCTCTCGCCCCGCCCCTTCCCGTCCGCTCTCGCCCCGCCCCTTCCCGTCCGCTCTCGCCCCGCCCCTTCCCGTCCGCTCTCGCCCCGCCCCGCCTCAGCGTGAGTGCACACTCGCCCACGTCCTGCACGCTCGTGTAGACACCGCTCCATCCCGCCCCACATGTTCTTACCCACACTTTTCACATATATCTTCACATTTTTCCTGGAGTCCAAAGTGCAAAACAGAGGGTTACCATGACGACCAGAGGCCGCATGCTTGTGTTCCCAGCCTCCCCCGCGCGACAGAGCGCCGGAAGTGAGTGAGCACTTCCGGCGGCCATCCTTACTGTACTGATATTTGAGTTGTAGCCTCTGTTGTGCTGTAGATTCGAGTTTTTCTGCAGATCTGAGTTCTTCCTGCTGACATGAAGGACGTGCCGGGCTTCTTGCAGCAGAGCCAGAGCTCCGGACCTGGCCAGGCCGCCGTATGGCACCGTCTGGAAGAACTCTACACTAAGAAGTGAGCATCAAACCGCGGGGAGCCTGGGAGAAGAGAGGAGAGCGAGGCCGAGGGGTCCCGGTGCAACCCGGCAGGGAACAAGATGACAGAACAGGGAAACGGGGGCGTGGGGGAGGCTGGCCGGTACAGGAGCTTGTAGCGGCGAGCGCGAATGAGAATGAGGACCGCGAGCACAGGCTAAGTCGGGGAGGTGGACCGAGGGACCCCAGCTCTGGCCACATGTCCCGGCTGCCTTCTCGCCCGCGAGACTGCGACTCAAGCTCTTCTGGTTAAGGATTGGGTTGGGCTGTGAGTTCTTGGTTTCTGTTAGACAGCAGGGTATAGACAGCTGTCACGGCATGACTGTCGCTTGCTCTGCTCTTTTCCCGGTTACATCGCACTTCACCTCAGGCCTTAGGGTTCATTCGGAGTTTTAGTTTGTTTGGAAACATGATGAATTTAGAACAGTGACGTTGCCGGTTTCTAAGCTGCAGCCTTTTATAAAATGAATAAAGGAAATCGCTCTCTTTAGGCTAGAGTTATTCTGTAGGAGACACCTCTCCTGAAATAGCTTTCCAGAGTGAACACGCCTAAGCGTGCAGCGCAGCGCCTTTCCTGTAGTCCTTGAAAACATGCGCTGTTGGCCGCTTTTGAGAGAAAGCTGGTTTAAAAGGCGCGTGCACACACACACACACACACACATACACACACACACACACACACACACACACACACACAAACTGGCGGTGAATTGTTCTTATGAGTTTTGTACTGTCAAATCACAGCTTGGCAGTTCATAGTCGATTATGAGCTGACCCTCCAGTGGGTTTTCAGAGGATGAAAATTGCATTGAGTCAACACTACAGAGCTGCTGGTGGATTGGTGGATTCAAACTACTGCTTTTGGGTTGGCAGGGCAACTCCTTACCAGCAAGTCACCGGAGTTTGAATAGCTCTCAGTATTTTCCAAAGCATTTCCGTAGACATTAGCATTTACATTTTAGGTGAAATGCATCATACTCCTGTTCTAATAGTTTTAATATCACCTTGTTGTTCTTGTTGTGTACTGTAGAGTCCAAACCGACCTAGCTGACCCTTCATCAGGTTTTTGGAGGCAGTTAATATCACAGTAGGAGATTGCTCATTCTTCTTCCATGGAGCAGTTATTGACTTCAAACCATGCCTTAGGGATTGCAGCACAGCCTTGTGCCACTAGGCCACCAGAGCTCTGTCTCATCACTGATTGAAGATGACAAACCTGAACAACACCTTTGCTGAGGAGCCAGTTACTATGTAGAAGACTTGGAATTTTAACTTTGATCTTTATAGTTCTAAGTTCTTGTTTCCAGTCAAACCTCACAGTAACTTTTTGAGGCAACAACCTTTCCATTTTACAGCTGAGAAAACCAAGCCTTAGATTTCGGTGCTAATGGGGGTGACATAACTGTTAAACAGTAGAGTTCGGAAAGAGCTAGGTTCCTTAGGAGGGTCAGTGTTGTTTCTCTTATAGAGGCAGCCAGTGTTTGTCAGTGGATAGTCCAGGGAGGCTACAGTGTGACCTGGTGCTAGGCTCTAGGTCTCCAGAGCCTTTTGTTGTTTTTCAGGTTGTGGCATCAGCTGACCCTTCAAGTGCTCGATTTTGTGCAGGATCCGTGCTTTGCCCAAGGAGATGGTCTCATCAAGGTAAATAATTTACCTTCTTAACCAAAACCCGTTGCCACTGAGTTGACAGACTCTGTCCTACTGTAGGATTTCCAAGACGGTGCTATATACAGAGACCAATGGCTACATCTTTATCATGAAGAGTTACCATTGAGTTTGAATCTACCAATTTTGGATTAGCAATAGAGAGCAACCACCAGGGATATCCATTCACCAGGTTAGGTCAGATTCTATAAATACATTCAGATGCCTTTTCGAATCATTGGTGAGCTTTTACATAACATTACGCGCATGAGTACTTTACATATTTGCTCATTCACTCCTCATAACACTGGGAGGTCAGCTTTACTGGTGTTGCCATTTTTCAGACGTAGAAGCAGAGTGTTAGGGGTTGGTTAAGAAGTATACCACACGGGGACCTCTGGTGGCCTAGTGGCAAGAAGCTGCACTGCAATCCCAGAGGTGCATGGCTCAAATCCACCAGATACTCTGCTGGAAAAGGAGGCACAATCTCCTGTACCAGTCAGATCTAATTTCACAGTACATACACACAAGAAGTATACCACAAATTTTCAATAAAGATACAGGGAAGTTTGGCTTGGGGTCTTCAGTCGAGAACTGCTGGCCCCCTGTTTTATGCTTTCTGCTCTATCTCAACAAAAAAGAAGTATACCACAGACCACAGCTACTAAGTGGCTGAGGGGAGATTCACACAGATCTCTTTTGTATGTCTGCTTCCAGCCTGAAATGCTATCATCCAGCTGCCTGCCCCTGCATCTTAGTGCTCAGAGACATTCTTTTGGAATACTGTGAACCTGTTACCAAATCCATGGTGGTTGACTGCCCCATAGGGTTTAAATTGTCTTGCATGCAGGTTGCCCCA